GGGGGGGGGGGGGGGGGGGGGGGGGGGGGGGGGGGGGGGGGGGGGGGGGGGGTAGAGTGAGAGGGCGAGGGCGAGAAACTGTTGTTCAGCAAGAAACGTCAGTTGTGGTTTTTGCTGTGCACCAAAGTATTCCCTGTACCCCGTTCTCGTTTTTTATTATTTTTGCTGTTGTTGCTGCGACGCGTCGTGTCGAACTTCAGGTTCGCTTCAAGACGTTCGACCTCGGAGGCCACGAGACGGCGCGAAAGCTGTGGAAGGACTACTTCACCACGGTGGACGGTGTTGTCTTCCTCGTCGATGCGCTGGACCGGCAGCGGTTCCCGGAGGCGAAGAAGGAGCTTGACGTGAGACCGTTTGTTTTGTTGTTGCTCGTGTCGTGGCTGCATGCAATGCGTCTTCGTCTTGGTTCTCTATTTCTCCGTCAGTTTTTTTTATTATTATTTTTTGTCAATTTTTTGCAGCGCGGGCGGTTGATAGCAGCTTTTACGTGAGAACGTTTTTGGTGTGTCGGTTGTCGTTTTGTTGTCGTTTTGTTGTTTGTTTGTTGCTTGTGTCGTCGCTTCATTTGCCGGTTCTCATGCGTTTTCGTGTCGGTAGTGTTCGGCAGCGCGGGCAATGACCGCAGTCGCGGCACGAGTGGTCGCTCCACCTCGGCGGTCGCCTCTCGTTGTGCTTACCGGCGGAGAAGCCCCGCCCGCGAACAGTCAGTCGTGTTTTCCCATGTCATTGTCGTAGGGGCTCGTGTTTTCCTCCTTTTTTCCCCTGGCCCGTGTGTCGTCTTGGAGACCCGGCCCCGACTGCTACAGCTTACGTCGTGTTGTCGTCTTTCGCCTTTGCGTTTGCGCTCTCTCTCTCTGCTGCATTCGTCGCTGTCTCCCCGTCGTGTCTTCGTCCACCCGTGTGTCTCTCGCAATCCCTGGTCTCTTGTTTCCAACCTCGTCTCCGCGCTTTCCCGCTGTTCGACCTTTCCTGAACATCGTTGTCGTTGTCTCTCCATCTCTCTCTCTCTATCTCTGTCTCTCTCCACCAATGTATGCATTCCTCTGTCGCCCTATCTCGATGCCGCTCAATGTATCCATCTATCTCCGGGACGGGACGGGACGGAAACGGAAACCGAAACCGAAATGGAAATGGAAACGGAGCAGTCCCTTCTGACGGACGAGAACCTGCAGACTGTGCCCTTCCTTGTCCTGGGGAACAAGATCGACATGCAGGCGGCCGTGAGCGAAGACGAGCTCCGGTGAGGCACAAACGACACGTTATCATTATCAGAGCACACGCAGACTGGCGGGTAGAGAGACAGACAGGCAGACTGGCGGACAAGCACACACACACAGACACTTGACAGGCAGATAGACGGACTGACAGGCAAGTGCGCAGCAGGTAGGACACACCCGGCGGCACCTGAAGGGGCACTACCATGCCGTGCCAACAGGCACACAGGAGAGATGTTGACTGACTGACATTCAGACTACAGAGCAGGCAGGCAAGACGTTAGGATAGCAAATAGGACGCACCCCCGCACCAAGTCAATGGGACTACCGTACAAATCCCAACAGTTGTGCTACGGGTGGCTACCCACGAAGGAGTATGTGTGTTTGTCTCTAATCTCACGAGCTGGGGTGCCCCCCTCCCCCCTGCCTCCTCTACAAATAGCCTTCGGCGACGAGAAGCTCCTCTTACAGAAGCCGAAATCAAACCATTAGACTAGCCAGCGTTGACTAGTCTGCGCTTACTAGTATAATGGTGTGATTTCGGGAAGGGTCACACCTATCACATTTGTGTGATACGTGGACGCATGCTTCCGCGGGGTGTGTTACGCAAAATCAACAATGTCAGTGAGGGGACCTTTCGACTCTCCAAACTTGTTATTCATGGGGTGTGTCTCGGTAGGGGTGTGTGAGAGACCGCTCCTACATGGGAGCTCTCGGCCCGGCGGAGTGACTGATTTGGTTGAGTAAAATGAAGAGCCCCGGTTTCTTCACCCGGTGCTGCGTGGTAGGCATGGGATTTTCGGCGATGAAAAGTCTCGAATACAAGCCGTACCAATACCTCGGGCGCTGGATAGGAATTGAACTCCGAACTTCATTCAACACGAAGAGTACCACCCAGAAGGAATTCAAGCACCTAACCACCACCAAGAACTAACAAGCACGCGACGTTCTTCTCCCTTGTTTCGTCTTCTGTGGTGGCACGGTCTGGCGCGCGTTTTTTTTGTCGGGGCTGTGGTACGCGTGGCAGGTATGCGATGGGGCTCTACGACACGTTCGGGAAGGCGTCCAAGCCGGACTCGAACCCCGGGGTACGGCCAATCGAGCTGTACATGTGCTCCGTGGTCAAGAGGATGGGCTACTCGGACGGTAAGCTTGCTACGTGCGGGAAGGGGGGCCGTTGATGAGAACGCCGTACCATTGATGAGAACATGATGCCGTTGAGGAGATATTCATTGCCTTTCACGAGGACGGTATAACGTTGATGAGAGCGCCATACCATTGATGACAACGTCATACCATTCATGAGAACACCATGCCGTTGATGACAACACCATACGGGCCGTACCTCGCAAAGAGAAGCTTTGTCTCCCCCCCCGCGTCCCGCGTACGGCAGCGTCCTACCTTACGCCGAGAAAGAGGTGCATTTAAGAGACATGTCAAGGAAAATACCTCCCCCCCTGTGCTGCAGCGGCGGGTCCCGCTCCGTTAGTCCCCACGCCAGTCGTGGCAGCTCTTTCTCCCATGCTGGTGTTGACTCCAAGTGCGTTTCGCCCATTCCATGCCAATGGTGTGTCGACTCGGTGGGTTCCGCAATTTGGGATGGTTGGTGTTCTATGGACACACCGCCGTGACGGCTTCTTCCAGTGATGATGCCGTCGTACTGGCGGTTTCTTGGGCATGTGTGCTGACCCCCCCCCCCCCCCCCCCCCCCCCCCCCCCCCCCCCCCCCCCCCCCCCCCCCCCCCCCCCCCCCCC